TTTCCTTTACAGCTTTCTGTTCTATCTGAGGCCTTAAAAAGGAGTCAGGACTATAGGATAACTTTAGATCCTCCTTTGTTTTTACATGTGTCATCTTACTTCTCTTTTCAATCTTCCAATGAAGGAAACAGCCTGTCCCTGAGAACCAGGATAACAAACTACCTATTTTTAGATGGGGAACTGTGCTTGTGAGCCTTTTTATGTGTTTTTGAGCTTTAATTTGTAATCCTTGCCTTGTGATAACACCCCTTGGGTGTATTTCCTGACTAATTTTGCACTTTTTGAACTGAAGGGACCTGAGACTACACCCAACAAGTGAGAAAATTGTATACTTCCTCCTTGTGCTACACTCACTTGCTTCCATTTATAAGAGATTATTACCATCCTAGAGCTTTCAAACAGACCTCATTGCTTAACATAGGCTAGACACTTTCTTCAACAGAGCCCCAGTTTGGAAGGGTAATCAAATGTAATGCATTTGAATATTGAATATTAAGTTTAAACCAATTATTCTCTACAGAGAGATCTAAGTCTATAAGCAAGCTGCCTTCTTTCTACTGCTTGTTAGATGATAACTTGCCTATTTGACAAGTCTGTGATGGGGACTTGCTCTTTAAACCTTGGGAAAAAGGTAAATTATCACTCTGGTATGTGCATAACTGGATGTACACTTTTGTTAAAATCTTGCAATAAGTCTTGAACACTTTTTTTGTAAAGGGGTTTGTAGTCTTGAGGTCTATGGGCAGAGTCTACCTTCTGATCATTTCAGGAAGTAAAGATAGATACATTTTCAATTGTATGGCCTACAATGAGACTTACCCTTGGCTATTGCAACTCAACATACACATCCATTTTCTTCAGGGAATTTATATTATTAAACTTTTCCTCATGTTTTTCTTCCTTGTCCCTTGGAATTGCTCATACCCAAATGGCGAAAGGATATAGTCAAAGGAAAACAAATACCTTTAAAACAACTCCAATGCTATGAAAAGCTGTATTTAAATATCTGAACAGAGAAATTTTTGCTATAAAAACTTATAGCAAGGTAACACCACTCACCTTAGAACGCTTCCATTTGGCCCAGTCTGCCAGTGCTAGATTTGATATGTGGTCTTAAGCTATGTCTTGTATTACTTTCATGACTAAACCCACATGCCACCGTTCCCTCCCACCAAACCCCTCAAAGTTCTTTGTGGCACTTCTCAAATTCTTTTAAAATAGACTCATGTTAGAATACAAATAGCCAAATTTAATGAGCTAAGTCTTTTCATGTCAGAAATAATACCCTGCAGTAAAGTATCATATCCGGCTTCAAAGATGGGCAACAAACTCTTATGCCCAGATCACTTTTTCAGCCAGCGATTCTAACCCAGTTCTGGGCCATCTTGCTGCTGCTATCAACACATGCATTGATGAACTCAGCGTAATACTGAACTAAGCAAGACAGACCTGAAGGTATAGTCACATACACTTCAATGGCCTCCCATGAAGAAAATAGAATGTATTCTCTTTTGGAATATATTGTTACAGTTCTTGTTCTGGGCCTAGGAAGTAAAAAGTAGATATTGAAGTATATAAATATAGCCTTGAAAGCCAAAATAATATGGTTTTTAAAAGCATATAAGGATTAATATTCAGATGAAACACTTGAATCTGCCACATTTAGGGTATCCTTAAAGAATAGTTTTTTGATCTGGAAAATCAAAACAGATTAGCCTTACCATTGTGTCAGTTGGAGTTCAGTCCACATCAGTTATTTTAAAAGATTTTAATGTTAAGCATTAATTCCCATTCAAATACTAATCAGGCCTGACCCTGCTTAGCTTCCAAAATCAGGCTTGTTCGTGGTTGTATGACTGCAGATATTAAGTGTTAACTAGGTATAAAGTTGTTAGCTAGAAAACTGAGAGAGTAAGAAGAGAAGACCAAGTCATCACTGGTTAAGTAAACTACAGAAAGCAGCTACCACCTCTAGGGCTGAGTGGACAAAGGTAAGACATTGGAACCGTCAAAGTTTATAAAGCTTGCAGGAGGGGACCTCATGGTGCTGCTACTGAGGCCTGTGAGAAGAGAGTACTGCTCAGCTAGGACTGGAGTCCCTGTATCTGAGGACCTGGGACCTGTTGGCCTGGAGAGAGTACACCAGAGAACTAATGCTGGTGTCTCCAAGATGGGCATGATGAGGCTAGTTCTGCAAGTGTTAAAACTGGATTCAGGGGCTGTTTTAGGAAGAAACTCTTGCTGCTGGGGTGAAGAAGCTCTACTAGAGTCACACTCCCAGGAGCCTCAAGCCATAAGGAAGTCCATGTGGAGCAAGCAGACATGTCCGTGTCCCTTCTCCAGCTTGGCAGTTTCCCTCCAGCGCCCCTTACTGGCAGAGCCACCATGCAGCCAGCAGGCAAAGCAGGCAAAGCAGGAATGTTTGCACAGTCTAGCTCCAGCTTCACTAACCAGGGATAGAGGTAGTTCTGAAGCTCAGACAACTTAATAAATGGCACAGATCACCCCTCTAGCTACTCAGCATCCACATACACCCTTCCACACCTTTCAACTTTCCCCTCGACAGCCACACAAATGTTTCCATCTAAAAAGGTGCAACTGTCTTTCATTCCGAGAAAGACGTTCTCACCTTCTCCCCAAACTGGGAAGCTGCAAAGATCCAGCAGGCATCACATTCATTTCTGGAAAACGGTTAGTGTCTTTGGGCTACATTAACCACTCCTAGACTTCAGTCACAGTCCCATCCGAATAATGCACTGCCTAAAGACAAAATTGTACATTTAACTTCAAAAATACTTGCATTAAAAGAGAAGATAGAGAGATAAGAAAACAGGTAATACATACCAGTGTGTACACATAACAAGCAAGGAAGAAAATGTGCATAGCTACAACTGCCCTCATTACCATCTACACGAATGCCATCTATATCCCAGACATTGAGAAATGAGTCTCCTACCTTCAAGGAGATTATAGTCCAGTGTATGGACAGACAAGCAAATAGACTTGTGTGTAAACCATGCAATGGACATGTGTATTTCAAGAGGACTACGTGAAGCTGTGCTGGAATACAGCTTCTCAGCTGAGATTTGTCACTGCAGTGTTGAGGAGCTCTGGTTTGGGGCCAGATAGTCTGGGTTACAAACCTGGTTATACCCCTTAGCAGGTATGTCGTTTAAAATATCTGTGCCTTCACTTTGGGAGGCCAAGTTGGGTGGATCACGAGGTCAGGAGCTTGAGACCGGCCTGACTAACATGGTTGAAACTCCGTCTCTACTGAAAATACAAAACTTAGCCGGGCGTAGTGCTGCACACCTGTAATCCCAGCTACTCAGGAGGCTGAGGCAGGAGAATCACTTGAACCCGGGAGGTGGAGGTTGCAGTGAGCCAAAATGGCGCCACTGTGCTCCACCCTGGGTAACAGAGTGAGACTTCGTCTCAAAAAAAAGAAAAGAAAAGAAAAGGAAAAGGAAAAAGAAAAAAATATATATCTGTGCCTTGGCCTTCCTCTGGAAAATGAAATATTGTGATACAGTAATGCTCACAGGACTACTATGAATCTTTTAGAGTTAATACAAGTAAAAGGTTAGTAGTGCCTGGTTCCCACCTAAGTCCTGAGTTAAGTATAACTTTGAGTCTTCTACTGTGTAAGACTTCAATCTGTAAACAGACTGTCTCCCTGATTGCCAACCAGCCAGGTGTCTTTGAGCAAAATTAACTACTAAATCTCCAAATGAAACAATTCAGATAACATTACTCATACATAGATTGCATGAATGTATACATTTAAAGACTGTTCAGATTATAAAGACTATTTTAAAACTCACGGTGGGAGAAATTAAGTACTGACCCCTATGAAAACATGTTGACATTTGTAAACAAGCTAAGTGCAATTTAAATTGAGTGAAAACTTGAGACTTACTTTTTATTTAGATACTCTTTAAGTATCTAACAAACGACAGGTATTCTCATGTGGTGGGCTTAGTCCTTCAATTAAAATGTTCACTTAAATGGGTAGTATAGGCACAGAATGAAGAGGGCTTTTAGTGAAGGCTGGGTTGTGAAGGGGTTAGTGTACCAGCCCACATGTTGTCTTAAAACGATTACAAAACAATGAATGACTTTTCTTTGCCTTTGGTCATCAGTTAATGTAGAAAGTTAATCTACTCACTCTAGATCTCTCTACAGCTATATGGAAACATTGGCTCCTAGGAAGTGAGAGAACCTTTTGGAAAGTTAGCTCACTTCTGTGTGGTTTACAATGACTGCGTTTTCCTGTTTCTCCTACTGTGATACATTGTGGGTAGGGCAGAGGTTATGAGAGCACAGGACAGACTGTTTGGAGGATGGTGATGCTGAATAATCGCATAAAAATGTACTAGATGAGTTGCACAATTGGCACCCCCTCAATCCATTATTTCCCTGGTACAAATAAGTGTTAATGGCAAAAAAGGATGTCTTTTATAGTGCTTGGATAGCCCTGGGGATCATATGCAGAATCCTAATACTTAAAACAAATTTATCAATGTGAATAAGATACAGTTCATAACTCTAGTCACCGCCTTTACAGTTAAGCAGTTTTGTGAAGAACTGAAATTTATAATGCCCAATCTCAAATGGCATTTGCAATCTCACCAGGCTCAGCATTCAATTTATTTCTGTTTTGCAATAAAACCTAGCAAGTTTTCGATCCCTATCTTTAATACTTGATTTTTATGCCAAAGTTCTAATAAAAACTGCTTAGCTAGATAATCATTAAACGTTACCAGATACCAAGTGCTTAAAGAAAAACCTAATAGGCACACATATTCCATTTTGGAAACTACAAAGGAAACGGTCCTACCCACTCCCCTGCTTTCAGTCTTCAGTCTAATACAGCAGGAGAAGGAACAAAATGAGTCCAAAGAACTACAAAAGAAAGTCACTAGTTGTAAGCCTATTCTGGCATAAAGTCTGGGTCTGCTGTGTTCTGATCTCAATATGCCTCTAAATTCTGCCTACAGGCGTCTGTGGGAGGTTATGTTTATTTGAGACTTCTCCATCGGGGATCGCCTGGTGTCACCAAGTGTTCACTGGTACTGGGGTTTGCTGCCTGCCTTCTTGCCATGTCTAACGAAGTGGAGACCGGTGCCACCAATGGTCAGCCCGACCAACAGGCCGCACCAAAAGCACCCTCAAAGAAGGAAAAAAAGAAAGGTATGGAGAAATCCTCTTGAAGCCACGGAAGGGAGCTAAAGGTGGTTATTCCTGGAGAAATGTGAGATTCAGAATAAAGTAAGGGCTGGCTCTTACCTTCCTTCAACCTCAGCTTAGTCTCAAGTTCTCCTAATAGGAAAGTTGTACTTTGAGAGAAGAGACTGGTTCATCCCACTTGTAATAAGACATCTCTGGAAACCTGCGATTACACCCACTTAGGTCCAGCTGGGAAATACTCATAGGCATCTTGTTCAGTTAATAATGCAATCATTAATTATTTTTTATTTACCATTTGGTTTTACTGAACTCATTAGGAATGGGACTACACAGACCTTGTAAAAGGAGCAAAAGACAATATAAAGATGGGATAATTATCTTAATAATTTTCAAGAGAACTTAGGCATAATTCCTTTCTGCCTTATTGATAGTTTAAAATGTTGGTCAATTGTTTGGCAGCTTATTTTTCTTATGTTAAAAATACGTATATTATCATCCTTATATTCTTTTAAAGACTTAAAAAAAGCTATGATGAACAATGTCCCCAACTCCCACCTCCCATATTCCCATAAGTTTCCCATAATGCTGTCAATTTTGTACTTCTAAGAGTTTATTTTCTCCCCACCCCGACTCCATACACAGTTGATTGTGGAACATGATTTTGCTCAAGGGAAGTAAGAATACGACAGGATAGAATATTATATACATGATCAGTTGTAGTATAATTAGGATTTATACTACTTAAATTTTGGAGAGTCTAGAGCATATTTGGTCATAATTAGAACTGGCATTCTTTATCCTGTATTCCTTTGTTTTCTCAGGCCCTGAAAAGACAGACGAATATCTCTTAGCAAGGTTCAAAGGTGATGGTGTAAAATATAAGGCCAAGCTGATTGGTATTGATGATGTGCCAGACGCAAGAGGGGATAAAATGAGCCAAGACTCTATGATGAAACTAAAGGTAAAAAGGAAATGAATGCTTTATCTGTATGTTAAGCGAAAGTCCAAGAGAGGGAATTATATTAGAAGCTCTTGTTGACCTGTGTTCAATTACTTGAAAACCCCTTTTAATCACATTATCCATCAGTAGTGCCCCATTTTCTGAGAAGCCGTGAGTGTTTGCATATTTGGAGGGATGTTCTAGAGACCTAATTTTATCAAGTATAACAGGATTCTAGATGCCTGGCAAACTCAACATTGGGACGAACTAAACCTATTCCTATTTCTATTCCTATAAAAGCTATGTGCAAATGTGTACGTTGTTTCTCTTACTATATGTGGAGAGCACGGAATATCCTGTTTTAGACCTGGGAATTGTTATGATAAAATTTAGAATTCTGTTTAGACACTGGTGTTCCGTAGTGTTAGCCTTTCCTTTTTTTGAATTTTAAAATTTAGTATTATGGCACTATGTGAAACTGACTAAATAAATAATACTTGTTCAGTAGTTCAAGGCCTAGAAGAAACATCTCTAAAGATCTTCTAGTTGATCTTTACCAATGACTATTGTGAGGCCAAGAGATTTAGAGTGACTTGTCTGAGTTCGCACAGCTAACTAAGGGATGCGCTGGTTCAACATCTTCCGTGCCGTCCTGCTGTCCCTGATGAAAAGTGCAAAATTCTTTCATCGATGGCAAACCAGGTTGAAAACAAAGCTGACTGACTTGGAAAATTTTGATATTAAAAGCATTGTAGGATGTTTTAAAAAATTCAACTTCTCTTGCTTTTCCACCCTCATCAGGGAATGGCGGCAGCTGGTCGGTCTCAGGGACAACACAAACAAAGGATCTGGGTCAACATTTCCCTTTCTGGGATAAAAATAATTGATGAGAAAACTGGGGTAAGAATTCACATTTGCTGATACCTCTCTGACCACCTGAGTCTGACCAACAATTTGCTGCTTGAATTTCGGCTCCCCTTCTTCTTTCTCAAAGTTCTGTAGGGAAAAAATACAGCAGATATTACATCTTCAGAAGGAACAGGCAGAAAACAGAATGGGGGTGAAAGTCAAGATACTTTATTTTGAATTTGTGTTCTATAATAAATGTGAATCTAAGTCTATTAAGTCTGTTAATAGGCTTAGCTACACATTATGTCTATAATATATATATTTTTGAAATTAAATATAAATATATATAATTTATACAATATAAATATTTAAATATATATTAAAATGTAAATAAATATATATAATTTATAAAGTAAAACTTTATATATATATATTTTTGGCCTCAGGTATACAGAACTAGATTAATTTTAACCCCTAGTTTATGACACTTTTATGTATTGGTTACATGTGAACTTACCAGCTAACCTAAAGCTAGAACCTCACCCGTAACACATCTACCTCTTTTTCATTTATTTTTTCCCTGTCTTCTCACCTCACAGATGCAACCTTGTTTATTTTTTGTTGGTTCCTGTTGTTCTATCACTTATGAACAGTCTTACTTATTTTGCTTTGTTTTTAAGCCTTATCAGAAAGCTATTTATCATACGTCAAGCCTTCTGTGATTTATTTTAAAATGTGTGTGGCTCATTACCATTGCTATAAAATACTCTCTTGCATCACAATACTGTGGGGAGACCTCCAGTTACTGTTCATCCCTTTCTAGAGTGCCCATTATCTACTATGCAAACCTAGGGCCCTGGCACCCTAGTGGACCCCACTCAGCCTGCTGGTGCTGGGGTCATCAGGCACCACTCTCTTCATCAGTCGCCCTTATCTCTCAACTCTTATTTTCCCAAGCCCATCAGAGAAAGGTGGCATGTTTCTCTCACCCTTCTTTCTCTCCTCAAACTTTCTAAGATAATAAAAATTTTTCAGTGGCCTTAGACATTCAGGACCAAAAGCCGGGACACACTCTGCCACCTATAAATATCCCTGAAGAGTTGAACCTTGTTACCTGCTTGAAAGGATCAAGAGAAAGGAGGGAAAAATAGAAGAAAAGACACTGCTAAGCCAATTAAGTCCCCACCCCTTATAATTCCTGGTTAGTGACATAGTCATTATGTCATTAACATAATGTAGATATTACTACATTATGTTACTATGTATTAGGCTGTCTAGGTGGGGCTGAGAAATACTCGGTGACAGTATTTGGTATCCTGCAGAATATACTGGGAATACTGTTCCAATAACACATAGGATGGTTCCTTGGCCACTCTGAGCCATCGTCAATGAATCCCTGTGAACACTCCTCTAGCTTAGTTATGCTGTTCATTTAAGTTTGTGTTTGAGTTGGGAAAGTCGGCCTATTTGACATGGCTTAAGGGCTAAATGTCTCCTCTTCACTTGGTCTTCTAATCCTCAGTCATTCCTTGCTATATGGCATCATGTCTTTAAAGCAAGGAGAGTAAAGTATCAATATTTTCAGAAGGAACATTCTTCCCACTTTTGTTTTCTATTCTTCTTTCTTTTGAAGTCCTTTCTAGCAAGAGTAATGCTCTAGCCTTCAACCAGAAACTTTTTAGTTCTTTAACCTTTCTTCAAATGGTTTAACCTTTTCATATATATCTTCATATATGTGTCTGAGGCTTAGGTGTGCTAGCCTGCAAATAGATTCTGGTTTTCTTAATAAATTACTCTTTATGTTCTTTTTTAAGGTAATAGAGCATGAACATCCAGTAAATAAGATTTCTTTCATTGCCCGTGATGTGACAGACAACCGGGCATTTGGTTACGTGTGTGGAGGAGAGGGCCAACATCAGTTTTTTGCCATAAAAACCGGGCAACAGGTGAGCTCTAAGTCTTGCCATAGACCTGGGGACCTGTCCTCTGTTGGACATTGGAGTGTCTGTCACTCAACTAGAAAATTTACTGGAAATAATTGGATGTAGGAGGGCTAAATAATGATTCAGATAATGACTATTTTTATTGGCCTGTGGAATCTTTAAAAAATGTCATCGATAGCCATGTACTACTGTGTGCCATAGGATTGTGAGAACGGACCTTCTTATAAAGTGAATATCGATTTCAGAACAATGGTGAATTATTCTCAGAAACCTTAAAGGACTTTGAAAATGATCATGATACCTCTTATTTTGTCTAAATACTTATTAACCCTGCTGTCCTTTATGTACCTAAGGGTGAGGATTGGGTTGGTGGTGATCCCCTATAAATAAGCCAGGGGAGGGAAGTAAGGAGTTTTAAGATTAAAAAAAATCCCAGTATGAATTATAACTGATGTGAGACAAAGGAAATAAAATACTAAAATTAAAATACTGATAACAGTGCTTTCCCTTGCTGCAGGCTGAACCATTAGTTGTTGATCTTAAAGACCTTTTTCAAGTTATCTATAATGTAAAGAAAAAGGAAGAAGAAAAGAAAAAGGCAAGTACTACCTGATTAATGCTCCATTAAATTTAAAGCTGGCCTGGTGCAGTGGCTCATACCTGTAATCCCAGCACTTCGGGAGGCAGAGGCAGGTGGATCACCTGAGGTCAGGAGTTCGAGACCACTCTGGCCAACATGGCAAAACCTCATCGCTACTGAAACTACAAAAATTAGCCAGGGGTGGTGGCAGGCGCCTGTAATATCAGCTACTCGGGAGTCTGAGGCAAGGAGAATTGCTCGAACCCGAGGGGCAGAGGTTGCAGTCAGCCAAGATTGTGCCACTGCACTCCAGCCTGGGCGACAGAGCGAGAGTCTGTCTCACAAAAACAAACAAACAAGCTTAAAATTGTATTCAGGACTGTGTTTAATATTATGTATAAATATGATCTATCTGAAAATTTGGCTTCTATATGTATTGTCTATTCTTCCCAGTAGGGAAATGGATAGATTTTTGTGGTTAGGCACTTCTAATCTCCAGTCCCCCTGGCTTTTATTTTTTCTCTCTCTACAAGATTCATATTAATTCTAGGAAATATACAGGACAACCAAGTTTAAATCCAGTACCTCTACTCAAACCTAATATTGACATGAAAAGGGGAGGGGAATGGAGGGCAGAAATAATATATGAGACTTATTCTTTATGTCTGTGAACCTTAGGCATACTTGTTTTTGTATTTAACTCCCTTTCACTATGAATACGAAGATCACTGAATATGTATCTTTCTTTTTAGATAGAGGAAGCCAACAAAGCAGTTGAGGTAAAATTGCATCTTTACTTCTTGTTAATCATGTGTGTGATGCGCGTAAGCCCCTGTTTGCTACCTGCCCAACCACTCTTACCACCTCGCTTATTCCTATGTGTTTATGACCACTTTGATCATGAAAGATGTTTAGTTAAAAGACGAATACCAAAACCATTGCTGCTTAGTAAGGTAATACAGTGGACAAATACATTTTATAGAGAAAGCTCAACTAAATCCTTAAATATTTGCTATCTTTTCAGAATGGGAGCGAAGCCCTAATGATTCTAGATGACCAAACTAACAAACTGAAATTGGTATGTATTAATATGTGATGTTTGACAGTTCTTATTTATCTGAACGTGGTTTCTACTTCCTGTAGATGTTGCTGATACCAAATCTGCATTGAATCTGTATGAAAATTCAATTGAGACAACTATTTTTCAAAATGTTAGTGTAACATCTATGTCAATATACAAAAGTAGTCAAACAAAGATTAGAAAAGTAATCTTTCTAGTAGCCACACCTGAATCTAATCTAACATTTTTAAGGATGTGGACAAGATAGATTTGCTTTGAGAAATGTCTACACTTCTTGACCTAAATAGCTTAATATGAAATCTATTAATTAAATGGAAATTAAATTGTGACAACTACTTTCCTAAACTTTAGGAAACAAATGATCACAACAATATACGAAGTAATCTTTTTTAGTAGACACATCTGAATCTAATTCAAATACTTTTTTAAGGGTGTTGACCAGATGGATTTGTTTGGGGACATGTCTACACCTCCTGACCTAAATAGTCCAACAGTAAGTGTTTGTTTTTAAATTTGCAATGTAATAAAAATGACATCTATAACTCAAATTGGCAATAACCAGAAATCCTAAGCATCTCATTGAAACTTGGAAGGTGACCGTTGATTTTTGCAAATGAAGTGTCAATGGTTTTTAGAATAAATGTGAATCTTAAGTCACCATGGGAACCTATCCATACTAATTCAGTTATATTAATATTGCTTACAGGTTAAACCTGAACAATAGGTCAGCAATGTAGTCCTTCATGGTATCACTTAGGATTAGAAGGAGGAGCTGAATAATAGCCCTTGAATAAGCCTACTTGAAGAAAGTATGATTGTTAGATGGGTAATCATAAAGCCTCCTGTCCTCTTCATTTCTTTTGCATTCTGTCAGTTGCAATTTAGCAGCATAAATTTGGTGTGAAGTAAGATTTAAAACAAACAAGAGGTTCAGTTATATTCCACCAAAGCTTGTCCTTGTTAGAAAGCTCCCCATTCTCACAGGATTTTATACCATATCCAGTCTGCTCAATATTGAAAGATATGTAACAACCCTATAAGAATAGAACAGTATTTTCCTTTACAAATTAAAAAAAAAAAGAAAAAAAAATGGTGGTTCAGGGAAAAAGAAGAAGAAGAAGAAGTAGAAGAAGAAAAAAAACAGGAAAGAGGTCCAGATTCAAGGCTTAAGCCTAAGTCTAAGTCTTCAGACCTTCCAAAACATACCTCATGTCCATGACATTTTGAATTACTTCTTGCAACTTCTTTTATTTATATAACAGTTTCCTGAGCACCCGCTATTTGCAAGGCATAGCAGTAAGATGCACAACATCAATGACATCATGGAATTTACTCTCCGGCAGGGAGACCAACACTAAAACTAATCACATCATTAGCAATTGATGTTACTTACAGGGTATTTATCTAGTTCAGAAATTCAGATAATGCTTCTGAGGAAGTGAGTTTCTAGAATTGAACATAAAAGATGAGAAGGCAATAAACACAAAAAGAGAATTAGTCTAGAATAATGGGGGGCAATGTCTAGAAAGGACTCCCTTGCATCAGGAAATTAACATGGAAGCCTACGTGACCAAGGTTACAGGAGTTCAAGCAACAGATCAAAGATTGGGTAAAATTCTCACTTCGGAGTTCTGCAGAGAATTCGAGGCCTGTGAATCCTCACTGCATAAAACTTTCAGGTCAAATGAGATGGAGAGGAGCAGGGACTTCAAGCGTTCTTCTCTGACCCTAACCAAATGAGAATCACAATGCATGGTAATGTTCTAAAATACCTGTAAGAGAGAAGCCTGTTTAATATTCATTTTAGCAGTGAGCCCTAACTCACTTGCCTATAGAACCTTACATTCTTCATAATGTTTGCTATAGTTCTGAGGATAAACTTTTTAAAATACTAGACTAGATTATCCTGACAGATCCATCCTAACTCTGAGGTTCTTTTGATTTGTAGTCAACTTTGCCCTTTTCTCCATCAGTGATGCTTTCTTCAAAATAAATCAGTAATATTCAAAGAGAGCAAAGCACTCAAGATATGAAGTGGAATTCCAGTGGAACAGGCAAGGAAGTACTGCCTTATAATCTACTTCTGTAGACTTCCAGAATGTTCTAAAAACGGAAATGGAAAACAATATGGATAAACTTCAGTCTCATTTTCATTAGACTTTATGCAGTCTAAAAATTTTTTATTTATAGCAATTCAAGTTTTAGTTAAACTAACAATAAAGTAAAATACCATCAAAATATATAGTCTGATAACCAAAGGAAGGCTAACAGATCTAATTATGTGCTGGTTAAGCTTTGACAACATGTTCTTATCTATTGACTCTATAGTCATAGGTCAAAAATAGATTTATCTCTACTTGGCAAAGCCAGCATGTTTAAAAATATTCACTCTTTCAACAATTGCTTTGAAACATGTAAAGAGAGAAAGAAATCTAAATTGCCTAGACTTTATTATTGGTCCTAGATGGTTGTCACTCCCCTCAAATTTATACAGAAAAGTTTTATGAATTTGAAATAATGCTCATGTTGTAAGCTATGTGGTATCCCCTAGAACAGAATTTTTATTGGCAAGCCCCTTGAGCATTTTCCTTCCACACTGCATCTCAAAAGAAGAAAAGAAAAAGAAAAACATAAAAACCCATATTCTGTAACTTTAACAACTTAACCACTTGAAAGCACAGTTACTATGGGAAGAATATAAGACATGACCTATGATCAAGGAAATTAAATCTGGTACAAGGGATGGGATCAGGATACAAAGCACGAGTGTCACTTATGTCCTTGTATACATGCCATTAAGATAACATGGGTGGGCACAGGGAATGTGCAGACAGAAAAATCAATGCTAAAAGCTTTGTAAAGAATCTGAATTGAGTTGGGTCTTTGATATATGTAGGAAAGTAGGTTCGTAGTTGGGCTAGAAACAACGTGGGTCTTATTGTGGATCATGAAAATTTGGCCTAAGGAGGCTTATTTTAATATAGGGAGCAGCAGGAGGCCACTTAAGGCTTTGAGTAGGGAAGTCCTCAGTCTGACGAACTGGAATGGTTAGGTGAGATTAGCCACCCAGAGAAGAGCTAGGCTATGGAACTCGGGATTTATGCCCACTTACTGGAGCTCCCTACGAGTAGGTTCTGTAACCTACTGCCTATCTCCAGTGCCTGAGGCTCAGGTGCTCAAACAGTGGCCAACTGGATGCAGTGTTGACAGTCCGACAAAGAATGAATGAGGCTCTGACCAAGGAGGTGGACGAGGAGTCTTTGGCCTCTCAGTTGTAGTCTGTGAACTACACTTTTAATATTGGATTAATAACAAACCCAGCCTGAGGAGAGCCTTATACATTTTACTTATAGGGTGACTATTCAGAAGTCTAACATTGTGGCTCCTGTTTGGTGTCCTAATTACTTCTTCTGAAGTATTTGAAAAGGAGAACTGTACCAGCTGTGAACACTCAACTGTTCTAACCCAGAGGTGGCTCAAAACAAATAAATAAATATTGAAATCACAAGCTTTTGTAATAAATTTTATCCTACCTTTAGATTGTATAAAGATCCCTAGATTAATAGCTCTTCCAAACCATTTCTCTGATTAAATTTTTTTTTAATTATAAGCTCTTTCTTGTGACAAATTCTTCTTTTATAAAGAGAAAGCCTGGCTTTGGCTTATAAAAACTGTGTTTTTATGCCTCACAGTAAAGAAATCCAAAAGGTAGAGTGCCATTTAGGTCTGATTTTGCTGCCTCTTTTGTGGCCATGAAATAGGACTTAAATTTTCTAAAAAAATGGGTATTTTTTTTCTTTTAAAATCCAAGGAATTCTATTTGAACCCTTTTGTATTCACTAATTTGCAAATTTTATATTCCCTTGAAGTTGTTTTTTTCCGCAATGATCAAAATATTTAGTATTCTGCCCACGATAATGCAAGGTAACTACTATAACTTCTACTTCAGCGAGGCATTTTTTATCATTTATATTCTTCTCTGGGTAGCATAGTTAAGTATTTAATGGATCAAAGTCAAGCAGAAGGAAGAGATATCAGTATGAAAGTTCTATCCTAGGGTGAGTTATAATTCTGTCTTTTACTGGAATAAAGACATGTCGGATTCATCAAATTTACTGCTTTTAAGCTGAGAAATTTCTATTGAACAGTTGAAAATTCAAAAAATTGACACACCAGAGAAATGATAGAGAGGGGATAGAATTAGTAGAGCTATATATTCGATATGTCTTTCAAATTAACTCTTAAACCCATGTGTCTACCTTGTACAATCGTTCCCCTTTATCTGCAGTTTCACTTTCTGAAAATAAGTCCATGGTCAACCTTGGTCTGAAAATAAGTGAGTACAGTACAATATGATATTTTGAGAGAAGAGAGACAGAGAGACCACATTCATATAACTTTTATTACAGCATATTGTTATAATTGTTTTATTTTATTATTGTTGTTGTTAATCTCTTATTGTGCCTAACTGATAAATTAAACTTTATCATGTGTATGTATATGAAAATATACTGTATATAGGTTTTGGCACTATGTGCCATTTCAGACATCCACTGTGGGCTTTGGAACATATTCCCTGAGGATAAGGAGGGACTACTGTATATAAATTAAAGATCAGTTTTTGGTTGACTTTAACCACTAAATAGATGAGATTACTGTCACAACACAGGCAACTCTAAGCAATGTTATGAAAAGATGTACAAATAGGAGATCTTAATGTGTGATTGACTAAATTAGGTCAGTATTGAGTGTCTCTTTCAGCTCTTTCAGAGGACATAGACAAAAAGGGTAAGTCCAGAGGAGAGACTGGGATGATGAGGATGAGATCCTACTTGGCTAACAGCTTCAGCAAGAGCCTTAATATTAAGAGGCATACCTGAAGGCCGTGACATAAAGGAAAAGCCTCTCTCCCACCTCTAGAGGAAAGAACTGGACTGATTTTAGGGAAATGCATTTGACCTTAAATTTCATCACAGCCAGAACTATATAATATGAATGTATTAGTTGATGAATGTTCTCATTTAGAGAGATGATCCTACATGACTCTGGGGGTTACAATAGAGAGGACTGTGTGTGTATCAGGTAGGAAGCTGAGCTATGCTTCTGAAATCACTTACTTTCAAGCTCAACATACTTTGATAATCATTTAGAGTAACTCACAATCAATTCCCTTCAAGACTTTCAAAGTCACAAATTGAAACAATGCTCATAATGAATTAAGCCAGTCAGTATGTGTGAACCAGGGTGAGCAGAGACATGAAGTAAGCAACAGTAAGATTTCACCTAATGATGTTGAGACTTAAATAAAAGGGCATGATACTGGGGAGTAATAGAAAGGACCCAGGCTATAGCTGGGGAGTAAAGGACTACAGGGGTTGATGGAAGGAGGTAATGATCAACTGGTTTATCAAGACCAAATTCAAATAGAAATTCTGATAATCCTAGTCATCTTGTGTAATTTTCTCATTTGAAGTCACAACATGAACTAACACTTTCTTTTTTTTTTTCTTTCCAAATGTGATAGGAAAGCAAAGATATCCTGTTAGTGGATCTAAACTCTGAAATCGACACCAATCAGAATTCTTTAAGAGAAAATCCATTCTTAACAAACGGCATCACCTCCTGTTCTCTTCCTCGACCAAAACCTCAGGCATCCTTCTTGCCTGAAAATGCCTTTTCTGCCAATCTCAACTTCTTTCCCACCCCTAATCCTGATCCTTTCCGTGATGATCCTTTCACACAGCCAGACCAATCGACACCTTCTTCGTTTGATTCTCTCAAATCTCCAGATCAGAAGAAAAAGAATTTGAGTAGCTCATCTACTCCACTGAGTAATGGGCCCCTGAATGGTGATGTTGACTACTTTGGTCAGCAATTTGACCAGATCTCTAACCGGACTGGCAAACAGGAAGCTCAGGCAGGCCCATGGCCCTTTTCGAGTTCGCAGACCCAGCCAGCAGTGAGAACTCAAAATGGGGTATCTGAAAGAGAACAGAATGGCTTCTCTGTCAAATCCTCCCCGAACCCTTTTGTGGGAAGCCCTCCCAAAGGACTGTCCATACAGAATGGCGTAAAGCAGGACTTGGAAAGCTCTGTCCAGTCCTCACCACATGACTCCATAGCCATTATCCCACCTCCACAAAGTACCAAACCAGGAAGAGGCAGAAGGACTGCTAAGGTGAATTGTCTTCTCCACATATCCATTAGCAGAGTGCATGTTCGGTACCAAAGGGTGGTGTGATGCAAGCTCTCTTTCCTGCTGCTCTCGTAGTTTCCTGTGTGGCTGTGAAATAGAAGGTGGGATAAGGCACTTTGGTTCTCCAGGAGTACTTTCCTCTAACTGCCACCGTGTTTAAACTTCTCAGCAGTGTTTGTCACACCCTGCTTTCCGTGTGCATGTCTTGTCACTTATGATTAAACTAAACACAAGTTTTTCCATTTTTAATGCTGCTATGCTTCTATACCTCTGGTAAGTTTGATCATCATGCTCTGGGTTGGGAGGGTGAGAGTCCTTGTGATTCCCTTTGTACTTCCCTGACACTAACGCATGCCCTGCACCCCCATCATATGACATTAATGTCCATGGTGGTGGTGTAAAATTCTCGAGCTTATCTCCTCTTTTAAATACTGACTAAATACATAAGTTTAGAAAAAGCTTATGTGTTTACTGTTACCACTATGATCTCAGCTTTATTTAAGAGCAGCTTAAAATGCAGTTCCCATAGATGTCTTTTTTTTACCTCTTCTAAGACTATGAAGGCTTGCCTGGATTAAGACCCTATGATCTCTATGTAGACTGACTTAAAATCCAATGGAATTATCAAAAATATTTAGGACGCTTATTGGTGGTTGCCCCTTTTACACACTTGCTTCCCCAGCTTCAAGCATTTAGCTGATGAGACCAGACCAATGTGGGTGTGTAAATGAGTATAGTAGATTTCACTTTGCAAGCCCTAGGTAGTATCAGACACTAAGACTCAGTAGTCCGTCCGTTGTAGGAATCTGTGTCTTTTTGAAAGACTCTTTTTCTGTAGTAGTAGGTGTTGTTGTTGTTCACAAGAAAAAAGTTTTCCTTTTTGTGGCTCTCAAATTGGGGTATAGAGTAGGAGACAAAATGAAGCTGTATTTCACTGTTAGTGAGTAACTAAGGCTTCTCCCTCCCTCCCTGTCCTGTCAGTCTTCGGCCAATGACTTGCTTGCATCAGACATCTTTGCTCCTCCCGTCTCAGAACCTTCAGGCCAGGCGTCACCCACAGGACAACCTACAGCCCTGCAGCCCAACCCTCTGGATCTCTTCAAAACAAGTGCTCCTGCCCCAGTGGGGCCCCTGGCGGGTCTAGGTAGGTGCCTAGAGATAAAATTAAGTATGACTCTTTTGCTTTTGCTCATAAAATGATGATGCATCGGAAGACATTTCATACTCCTAGAGGGTTCTACAGCACAAGATTTGAGCATCCCAGGGAGCCCTTCTCTCACTTCTACTCCTATACAACCCCACACCCATTTGATACTCTTGACTTGTACTCACATTTGGCTCCTCAAGGCAGCATGAGACAATACATTCATTTTCAATATTGTAATTACTTGAACCAACTGGTCATGGTTTCCTGAGAGACAATTGTAAGGGATCCTAAACTCAGACCAGCTTCAGTAACAAAACAGGGTTGACATAAGAGAGGTTTGTCTGTCAACTGTAGCAACATGCATGTCTTCCATGTCTTTTACCATAATAGATCGAAGGCCTATGCCCTTTCAACACATAGCCCTCTTAGCAGGAATATATGCCAAAGAAGGATATAAGTTAAGTCTGAAGCAAGAATAAGTCATAGAGTGAAAGCCCTAGGTTCTGGGCCCAGCTGTGTTCCTAGGCATATGGTAAGGGTAGATCAGGCACACATCCTAATCAGTCTCTGAACGCTTCTGCCATAGGAGCTCCTTGCCAATATTTTGGCTAGCTTGAGTGTTTTACTGAAGCTAGAACATAAGTCCTAGAAAGCCAAAGTTGAAAAAAGCAGAGAAATAAGGGAAGATGTGGAATTTTATCAGACATCTAGGATGCATTGATGCTCTTAATTCCTAAATGTGTCATTAGCTTGTGTGAGCTGCTGATCACTCTATGGTAGGACAGTGGGAAAGTCCATTTGACTGAGGGCTGGCCTTGCTATTCTTTGTCCATAGCCTATACTTCTTTTCAGACTCCATGGTACAGTTTTCAGAAACCCTGATAATAGTTTTTGCTGTCCTGCTGTGGACTCTTTATTTTTCTGCTCTTGGCACGTCTACAAACTCCAAATGGACTCTGGCTTGGGAGGTGGAGGACTGTAGATGAGAAAGCACTCTCCTCTCCTTTGATAAAATCTGACCAGGGATCCTGGCTTTCTCTGCCTCCTGCAGTCAGTCATCAGGATCCTTCTTTTGTTTTGTTTTGTTTTCCTCTCTGTCTCTGTTGTTTTCCTACAAAGGAAAATATTTTGGTTCTTTTACAAGAAGTCTGTTTAATCATATCTAGAATAGGGTGGCCAGAGGAGGACTGTTACTCAACTGCTGAGTGGCTGAAATCAGTGAGGGTATGAAAAGCCAGCTTGTCCCAGGTCTCTGTTCGCATTTACCCCATCAAGAGGCTCTCTCTAAAGACTTCATGTCTCTTGGGGGTTTCTCCTTTTCTGCGTTGCTCTTTTCCCTGCACCCCCAAGTGGAGCTGGTTGGTACCCTTCCTTCACAGAAGACCAGAGTACTTGCAATGCAATGTCTGCAGCGAGATCACATCACAGAGCTTTGTATCTAATATCAATGCCCTTAAGAATTTTTGCAGCCAATATTTAACAAGTCAGCCTGAAAATACAGCTGGACCCTATAACTGTTTATTTATTCAGACGAAGTGAAGCTTTTTGGCTAGGTGCCCCTGTGGAGGCCTTGGGGTATACAACTGCAGAATACTGATGATTGTTCCAAGTTTGGACATGGGACTCAAACTGAGCTCTACAGTATAGTCCCTGTCCACTAGCAGGGATCCTCAGCCAAACCATGGAAGGTTGTAGGTCTGGCTTCCGCTAGACCCAGCTGGGGGACTGTCTCCCCTGGAGATCTGGGGGGTGGGGAGAGGGTATTGTAGAAAGCTGAGCCCTCAGTTTCAACTTGCTTGTATTTTAATCTAGCTTCAGAAGGTAATAAAATTAATGTTCTATACCCGTGTCCCCTTTTTCCTTAGTCCTTGCCCCTACTTTGTCCAGTTGGGCCTTAAATGTGTTGAAACACAATGTGGGGAATTTGGTGGGTAGGAATGAAGACTGGTATAAGTATATACTGAGAAAGCCTTGAATTCCTGGCAAATGTAATATTTCCCTCTCTCTCTTTTTTTTTTTTTTTTTTTGAGACAGAGTCTCACTCTGTCACCCAGGCTGGAGTGCAGCAGTGCTGTCTCAGCTCACTGCAACCTCTGTCTCCCAGGTTTAAGCCATTCTTGTGCCTCAGCATCTCTAGTAGCTGGGATTACAGGCGTGCACCACCACACTCAGCTAATTTTTGTATTTTTAGTAGAGACAGGGTTTCTCCAAGTTAGCTAGATTGGTTCTGAACTCCTGGGCTCAAGTGATCCTCCCACTTTGGCCTCCCAAAGTGCTGGGTTTACAGGAGTAAGCCACTGCCCCCAGCCCTAATATTTTTCTCTTTTACGAATACCATTCTCACTAATACGATATTTTCCTAAGTGAAGACAAGTTGTCCAACATGAAAGATGACAAAATTCTACCTTCCTTTTTGCACATCTAACTGGTGGAAATTATTAGTGAATTATCTGGCTTCTGTTAATACAATTTAACTGAGCGTGTTTTAAAATATGAACAACAACTTTGTTCAAACTAAACCCATTTTTAGAGCCTGTATTGTAGAATATAAGAGAACTTTCTCTTCATTTGTTATGAAAGGGTATATTCTTCAGTGAAAATGAAGTCTAATTTCTGTATCTGTGAAATAAGTGTTTGAATTAATGTAGCATTTGAAAATTAAAATTGCCCCATGCCTTGCTGCCAAGGAGGCAGAACAGGAGAATGGGGTGTCGGGTTTAGAGCCAGTGCGCCTGATTTTCAGTCTCTACCACCAGAATATGACCTTCTGAATTTTAATTAATATCCTTGCAGCCAGTTTCCTCACCTCCAAAAAGCATGCTGATTAAGTGAAATGTCCTGTTCTGAAACCCACCACTCTCTGTGAATATACCATGTGTGCCCATGGCCAGATGGCCAGCGTGCTTGATGAAAATGGAGTCAGGTAATACCAATGTCTCAGACTAAGAAGCTCAAAGATAGAATCTTGTGCTCCATCACTCCTAAACACCATTTTCAAAGTATTCCCTCTTGGAAATGTAACATCCCTAACCCAGGTCTGAAGAAAACTTTCATAACTAAAGAATGCCATGCTCCAACGCTCAAAGCAAGTAGGTTTCAGTCCTCCTAGGATAACATCGTTTCCTCCATTTTTATATATAAACACCTAAAACTCCCTTGGCATCGGCCAAACTTTATCTTCCCTTTATGTATATAGCTGTATCAGCGTTGGCAGCATTAAAAAGTGGAGAACCTTTGAAATGGTTTCTTCAGGATGCAAGCATGTTGAGGTCTTCTGCACATGTGTGACCGCTGGTTTCCATAAGACTCCAGACATGAGCCAGTTGCCAAATGAAAAGATCAAATGCGTGACTCAGAGAGTCCAATGGATTATCTTAATTAACTACATCATAATCAGCATGGTTTGTGCATAAAAATATATTCACTTAACAAATAAGTCCCTGCTATTAACAGGCTCTGTTCTAGTTGTTTGTGATGTATCAGACAACTAGTGTCTGTATGATAAAGGCTTATTTTTTTGATGAGTAGGTATTTCTAATGAGGAAAGTTAAAAAGACATGGTAGGAAGAACATGGGCCTCAAAATGCAACCAGCATTTGAATGCTCACTCTATAGATTAGCTGGCTAACTTTTACAGTGATTAATCGCTCAGAGTCTTTCTTCTTCCCACATCAGCCTCAGGACTCGGTGGAGGTGTTAGCTGCATCGAGACTTCCCAGAGAGTTGTGCTCTCTGAAATTCAAGAATCTTCTTCAAGCTTGGCTCCTGATAAGTATTTTTCTTCCTCTTACTTCAGGTGGTGTAACTGTCACACTCCCTCAGGCAGGACCATGGAACACAGCATCTTTAGTCTTCAATCAGTCCCCTTCAATTGTTCCGGGAGCCATGATGGGTGGTCAACCTTCAGGTTTTGGTCAGCCTGTCATTTTTGGTACAAGTCCAGCTGTTCCAGGTTGGAATCAGCCTTCACCCTTTGCAGCCTCAACTCCCCCTCCAATGCCTGTTGTCTGGGGCCCTTCTGCATCTGCGGCACCCAATGCTTGGTCAACAACAAGCCCTTTGGGGAATCCTTTTCAGAGCAATATTTTTCCAGCTCCTGCTGTGTCCACTCAGCCCCAGTCCATGCACTCTTCTCTCCTGGCCACTCCTCCTCAGCCACCTCCCAGAGCTGGCCCTCCCAAGGACATCTCCAGTGATGCCTTCACTGCCTTAGACCCACTTGGGGATAAAGAGATCAAGGATGTGAAAGAAATGTTTAAGGATTTCCAACTGCGGCAGCCACCTGCTGTGCCTGCCCGGAAGGGAGAGCAGACTCCTTCTGGGACTTCGAGTGCCTTTTCCAGTTATTTCAACAGCAAGGTTGGCATTCCTCAGGAGAATGCAGACCATGATGACTTTGATGCTAATCAACTATTGAGTAAGATCAATGGTAAGCCACTCACCACTCTGCCTACTGTTCCAACAACTATCTCCACTGCCACATGAACCTAAATGAGTCCCCCAAATGAACCCTCTCCCACCCATCAATAGCCTTGCTTTTGCTTCTGTTGGCAATCAAGGGTTATGGAGACAACTTAACCATTTACCTTTTGGTGATAACTGTTTACCTTAGTCATTTCTGAGGACTGACCCAATGCTGCCCTCTAGTGATAAATCTTAAAAGGACTACCATGAGCTATTGAAATGTGATGACTGGTGGCTCTTGGAGGGCTGTATAATAAGGCGTCATCCATGCTCCAAAGCTTTAAGTGAGGGGATTCTGAATCTCTTCCACTTCAGATAAATATGCATAGCTTTCTCTTCTGAGAGGGATAATAATTATTGGGACACCTAGTATTTGGTGTTGATTTTTGTTCCACTGATGTAAATTTCAAAAGTATGGAACTAAATTTCAAAGATAAGCTGACTCAGGGACTGGCCTGTATTTGGAGAAAGCTTGTCTACTGATTGCCTGGATTTTTTGCCTTCTAGAACCACCAAAGCCAGCACCCAGACAAGTTTCCCTGCCAGTTACCAAATCTGCTGACAATGCATTTGAGAACCCTTTCTTTAAAGATTCTTTTGGTTCATCACAAGCCTCTGTAAGTATCAACCACTAGAAGCTGTTCTCCAAAGTACATGCCACATAGAGCTCCGGCCTCCTGAATTAACCTTGCTTTTATAATAGCTTTTTTTTTTTTTTGAGACAGTCTTCCTCTGTCAGCCAGGCTGGTGTGCAGTGGTGCAATCTCAGCTCACTGCGACCTCCACCTCCTGGGTTCAAGCAATTCTCCTGACTCAACCTCCTAAGTAGCTGGGACTATAGGCACATGCCACCACACCTGGCTAATTTTTGTATTTTTTTTGTAGAGATGGGGTCTCGCCATGTTGGCCAGGCTGGTCTCAAACTCCTGACCTCAAGTGGTCCATCTGCCTTGGCCTCCCTCAGTGTTGGGATTACAGTCATGAGCCACCGCACCTGGCTATAATAACTTTTTGATGGTAAAACATGTTTGGCTAAGATTTGTCACCAAGAACCTTCACAGTATAAACATTGATGTAAACTGGAGAAGGATTATTTGCACAAGAACTATTATCTTCTGAATTTGAGAAATAATATCACATAGAAAACATTCTTCATATCTCACTTAACCTGATCCATGAAAGCATTTCGGGAGAAAATTGAGCCAAAATACCATCTTGAAAACCTTTCAAAAATGTAAGTTCTTAATTTTCCAATAATATTTCTATAGCTTATAAAAATGATACTTCCCATTTGGGGGAGGCAAATGAAATGCATCTGAACCTTGATTTTCACGTAAATAATATACACTGCCACGTGCAAGCAGATGGAAACAAATCACTGTAAGCCCCGTATAATGTTTGATTGGCCGAATGGCCTATGGCCTAAGCGAGTTTTAAAAGAATTTTGGAAGTCTTCACTGTAAATTTTTTTTCTTATGACTGTAACTGTATTTATTGACTAGATGATTTATCTTCTTAGGTGGCTTCTCCTCAACCTGTATCTTCTGAGATATATAGGGATCCATTTGGAAATCCTTTTGCCTAAATTCTGTAAGTAGAAGATCCTAATAAGTCTATCTCAGGGGTTTTTGTGAGAAAGGGTGACATGGAGTAAAGAGTGAAATTTTAATTTTAGAATTGGGAAGAGGGTAAATATCTATAATTTAAGAATAATCAACATGGAAATCCATACTTAGATCATTCAATAATGACTAGGCTGGGCACTTAAGAATAGAATTCCTAAACACATCAAAAAATAGTAATAAACCCTTGGGGATGTGGATTTTTATCTTATCCCATTTTTGGTTTTTCAGTTCTGTGTGGGAAGTAAAACTGAAAACAACACATCACAGATTTCTAACCTTTTAACTTTCATATTGAAGTGATTGCAAAACAACCTAGTAATAATTTGGTTTCCTATAAAGGGTTCAGATTCTGAAGATCTTCTGAAGCCACCATACAAGTCAGCAAAACAGATTATGATCATTACTCCTCTTGATGGTATTAAATCTAAAAGTTTTAACAACTGTTAAAGATCTCCTTCATAGGCAGTAGGAGCTCAAAATGAGTCTGAAGGTTGATTCTTCTGTCTAAGATTCTACTTGATCTTAGAAAGTGATTAGGTTGAATCACCCTCAGCTGAAACCCTGGAAGGGCTCAGTGTAACTCTTTCTCAACAGAAGGTGACAGCAACTTTGTTCTCATCTCAAAAGACTGAATTTAGTAGGGAAAAGAAGGTGCTCCCCATTTTAGAGCAGGTAGGGCAGCTGGTAGGGGTAGAACAATAGGAATAATGAAAAAAAAAAAAAAAACAACCAAACCCTTTTTTTTCCAATCTTGTCTCATCCAAACAGGACTACTAAACTATGATTTGGCCCATCTAGAATGTAATTATTTTTAATAGATAAATATCTTAAATGTGATAAGAACAATAAGATTGAGCTTATAGGCATTTGGATCATTTTCCCTCAACTCCAGTTCTACAATGTCTGTGTTTCCTATAGTACCTTTCCATAAACTGCTTCAGAGAACTGGGTAAATCATTAAAAATGCAAATTCCTGGGTCCTACCGCAGCCCTAAGGAATTTCTCTTTGGTGCCAAGGAAATGCTTCCTTTTAACAAGAGTGCAGGTGATTCTAAAGGTAATAACGCAGTAGAGTAGATATTTAAGAGCTAGAAGTCTTACTAGAGACTCATTCTCACCTTCCACTCAAGGGGAGATACACCCAAACCTATGGAAGGAGTAAACAACACTCGGAGTCAAGATGGATTGTATGGACTAAATTGAATGAACTAGACTTCTCTTTGGCGGTCCTTTCTTCTTTAGGTCATGAAGGAAGGATAGTTTAGGTCAACCTGCTACATCAATAGATTGGGTAAGGGGAACTCTCATGGGATAAAATAACTAACATTGTTGAGCACTTGCGCTAATCATTTTATTAGATGCTCTACATTTATCATCTTCGTCAATCCTCACATCAGCCCTAGGAGATACTATTACTGACATCTTTAATAATGACTTGATATTTAATACATTGATATTCAGTTCAAAAATTCTAACCACAGGTTTCTTTCTTCTCCATACCTCTCTAGGAACTTGGTCTGCAGACCATCCGGAGGAATAAAAAGGTTGGCCTTAGTAGTCAAAAACAAAGCTGATAGCCAGACATGCCCTGATTTCTGCCTTTGTTCCAGCTTTGACATATTATCTGTTGCCTTATTTCTCGTTGCCTCTTCTACCTGTAAAATGCTTTTCACTTTCTGTCTAGGTTAAAGCTAAACTGAATCTATGGCTTTAATTAAATTAAGATCCTAAACTCTCTAGCTTAAGTGTAAATGAAGTACAGTAGTTTTCCTACTGAACCCTGCCTATTGTGTCCCTGGAACATTCTAGAACACCTGCCTTCTGCCCTCTGGTTGGGAGATGCAGCCACCACATCCCTTCATCTCATAGTGTTTTGAATAAATTTTCAAATCCTTATTGTTCAAAGTTGTTCGGGGGTTCTGTTTCAGAGCATAAAACCTAAAGGTTATAGTAGAACAAGGCACCTTCTTAAAAGAAATCTTGCTTTAGACCGTCAGTTACAGAGAATTTCTAAAGTAAAATTGAAGCAACTACAACTTCTCCTTAGACACTTTGGAATCTAACCACTGAAGGACCTTTTTAAAAAGATAGCTTCTCTTCTTTCTGAAGATCAATTTCTCCCAAGGCCAAGATTGTCCTTTTCTCCCATCTCCTGCTAGCCATTGCAAATGAGGGAAGAGCATTATTCATCTCTCCTCTCGTTTTCTTCCTGATTCTTTTTTCAGTCAGTTTCGCTCCTGGGTTCAAGTAGCATTACCACTCTTTCACAAGCAACAGAGATTCTCACAGGGCAAAAAAAAAAAAAAAAATCTAATGATTCACAGACAGCTCTGGAGCCTCTCTTCATTCTCGGTAATTGCTAGTCCCAAGAACTAGAATTGCAAATGGGCACAACCTATATCCTTCCTGTGGAAGAGGAGGCCTTTCTCTTGAGCTGAAGTTCCAGAAGAGCAGTTAATGTTCAAGAGAAATTGAACTCAACTCAGCAACAAAGGACTCTATTTTGCAGAGCAACATATCAGCTAAATGTGATTGTGCCAAACACATTAGGTGCTTATTTGGGGTCGTGCTAGGCCTTTAACAAGTAACTGGAAAACCTTCTTGCAGCCACAATCTTATCATCGTTAGTAGGAAGATAAGTGGGGAGGAAAAAGTTGAACAAATGTTTGGGGTCACCATTGAAAATCTAATGTCTGCAATATTTTTCTCCTCGTAACTTGGAAACATTCCCAGTTCATTTTCAGTCCTGTTGTGAGCACAGTTCTGAAGGGTTTATTCTTGTCAAAATAAGTTTGTTTTCTTTTGTTTATGTTGGGTTTTTAATGTTGTCTCTTGACCCTTAATGCTCAGGTTCTTGTGGGAGTTCATCAACCACATCCAATGTTACCTTGAGGGGGAAGAAGAGGGTGATGCTCAGAAGCTAAACAAGACAGTGGCCACATGACCCTCTATTGACTAGCCCCAAGTAGAAAGTCCTGTGGTTTTACGTTTAATGGTAATAGCTGATCATATATGGCATAATTTTCTATCAGCTTCCTATTCAGTCACTATAAACACAGACTTGAAATAGTACTTTAAATGTCCAAATACCTAAATGTGGTAAACTGGAGGTAACTATTTCTAGGTAGTTCAATTTTTGAAAGTCATGATCAGCCACACAACTGTTTTGTACATACTTATTTTCTCATGCACTTTTCTGTATGCAAATAAAGCTATAAATTTACTCATTTCAATAAACTGGAGTGGCAGAATATCATGTGGTACCATCGGTTTATTCTACCTGCTTTGAGTTGATATTAGAGGCAAGCTATAAAACATACCAGTCTGAAGTGGAGAAAATGTTAGCTATAATACATTCTGGATTGTCACAACAATGAAGAGAAAGTGGAAATCCATGAAATAGGACCATGGGTAAGTTACCATCTGATCTATTTCAGCACCTTCTTCTGTCTCAAACCTACACGCACTCCCTTTCTGGGAGTGTAAGGAAGACTAGTAGACCAGTACCAGAACAACCTCAGCTGACATCCACTATAAAATCACTCATTAGTGCACTATTGGTTCATGCCTTTTACCTTTGGCTGCCTCTTGTTTTTTATTCAGTCATGTTTGACCTCACCAAGACACAACTGTGTGGACTGCTCTAGGCTGGCATAGGCCCCTCTGGAGAGCTGTTGCATGAGATGAGCGAGCTGATGAACAGATGTTTTTAGCATTAGGACACTCTTAAACTCTCTCACCTAGTATAAAAGTTCAAGGTGCTCATTCATTTTAAAAAGACCTGCAACTACGAGAAAGAGAATCCCAAGGTGGGCTTTGCTTGGATGTAGAAGTCATGGTGTTAAACCTAACTTCTCTGAGGAATAAGACAACATTTTGGGGAAGGATTATCTATTGGTGTATAATAGTTTGGAATGTTCCTTATTTCTGCCTTACCTTTCTCCTTGACCGAAACATTTGATCTCTTTCTAACAATAGTGAGGTGGAGTAGAAATACACTCCATACAAAAGCAGGTTCCAGGAGAACTGAAAGTAAGCCACAGATGAGCTAGAGAAGGCTGCTGATAAGAACATGTTGCACAAATTATCTAGCTTATCCAGGTGCTGTGCAGTGCGTCTAACCCATTGAGCCTGTGTGTTATCTCCACGTGGCTTAATCTGTGAGATCTTGCCAGAGGTTAACTTGCTGGTGTGTGCAAGAGGAGGACATTCCTTTCAGTGCAGTACGAACTACTGTTGATCAAGCAGAGAGCGGCAGTTACTGAAGTGTCCCTGCAAAGTGGAAACACACCTGTTCCTTATACAGTCGGCTCTCCTAACCTCAGATTTCGCATCTGCAGATTCAACCAGCCACAGCTGGAAAGTATGTGAATCAAAAATACAATAAAATAAAAATAATGCAGCAATTAAAATAATACAAATAAAAACAATCCAGTATAACAACTATTTACACAGCCTTTATATTAGTTATTATAAGTAATCTATAAATAATTTGAAGTGTATGAGAAAATGTACCTAGGATATATGCCATTTTATATGAGGGACCTGAGTATCCACAGATTTTGGTATCTGCAGGAACTAATCCTCCACAGATACCAAGGGATAACTAATTTATTTAATAAGCAGTGGTATTCACACCTGTGTGCCAGAAGTTCTGCTTTTCATGGTGACCCTATTATCTTGGAAAGAGAGTTTCCTTTACATATCAAATATATCTAAGCTAAAAGCTGAACTTTAACAGCCAGCATACCCCTAAATTTCTCACATAAAAGCAATACAAAGGGCTGAGGTATAGACTTTCCCAAGATAATCTTGCATCTGTGAAGTACTTTACCATTTATGCAAGATAACGTTATTCCATTGATGCCATTCATAATCCTTTGAGGTGGGATCTGTTGGTGTAAGTCTTACTCAGGCAAGACTGGCATCCATGCTTTAAAAAAAGCTGCACTCTACCCCAACTCTTAAGGGAGTGTTTTTCACAGTATTTTATTATAACAGTGTGTGTGGTAGTAGAGAGATCCTTTCATCCATTGATCTCAGACTTTACCATCAAAATATTAACTGTGGTGTCTAGAGAGAGCCAGAGGGTAATTTTGTGTCTTTCCTGAGGTGGAAGCAAAAAAAAAAAAAAAAAAAAGGGCAGGGGGCGGGGGGAACAGAGGATGTAGCTAACTCAGGAGTTTGGTTGGCCGTGGAATAACCTGATGAGTGAGGACTCTGACCCATATTCCCGGAATAGGTTTAATACAAAATCCAGGAAAAGATGGGAGCTACCCCAAAGCCCCTGGTAAATATTTAAGCTATTACCATTTGCTAAATAACAAAACAAATAATTATTGCTGGGAAATGATATGTTTTGAGCTAATTCCCTTCTGCTAAAAATAATTAAAACTCATGTTCTAGGCTGATATAACCAACAGGGACATGTACAAGGCTATGTACTGGCAGCAGCTCTGTTAACACGTCGTAATTATAGCAATGCTGATGGACAAGGGCCAGCCATTTGTCATCTCACCTGATGAGTGGCCAAGCCCCTCATTTGCCCTTGCTTGGAATTGTGTCCTGTATTTAATTACTAAACCTCTACCACGTACTGAAATCATACAAGTGCTTGTCTCCAGCAAGACCATGGTGTGGGCTGCTCAGTGACAAAGAAGTTGGCCTTCTGCAGAGATGAAAGATGAGGTTGTTAAAAATGGAAGGAAAAAAAAAAAAAAGCCCAACTCTGAAATTCTTTATGACTCAGTTTTCCTTGTGATATTGGTTGTGGAATTTTCTCTCAACTCTTTATTCACTTGGTTGATTTCAATCATTATTTTATCTTACTTATAAGAAAGCAGAATCATTACTGCTCTAAAAGTTACAGGGTAACCTGACTGGACTGGAATTGAGTGGAGGATGCTTCTGGGGTGTGTCTGATGCTGCCTCCACTTGTACCTACTTAGACTAATTGATCACCATAGAAATGGGGTATAGCAGAGGGCTGAATGGAATTAAGATAAATATTGATAGAGTTGGCAAAATCAGAAAAGAGGAGGGCAGAGAGGCACCCATGAAAATGCTGAAATGACTGGAGAAGAGGCTGGAGACTGAGTGGGGAGGGAGTCATACAAATAGTCAAGAGTATTGGTGAACAAAAGGGTAGGACATGGCATAGACAGACACTGAGAACCTCAAAAGAGGATTGTGCTGAGTCTTCCTTTAAAATGAAATGCTATAATGTAATCAAGTGTGCCCTACATAGTTCTATGTGATGGTAAACAGATCTAAGCCACAGGAATCCTTATTACTGTAAAGGGACAACCAGACTTACATCACCTCGACTGAACTTCACAAAGAGCTTCAGAACCACTCAGTAGAGAAATTTGTTCTTTCCTCCTTCATTATAAAAGAGCTCATCTGAAAATGCTAGAAGGAAAATGGCACAGGACCAGCAAGGAAGAGAGCTGGGCTCTGATGCTTCCCCTGCCCTAACCATTCGACCTTAAGAACAAGGATGTCATTTTCCCAATCTGCATTCATTCATTCATCTATTAGTGCTTGTAATTCATAAATGTGCTAGACGCAATGCTAGATGTGAGGGGCATAACAGCAAATAAGACACACCTAAAACCTGCAATTGACGGTGATCTCCAAGTTCTCTCTATTCAATGAGTCTAGTTATCTCCACTGACTACACATGTTGTAAGTGGAAGCCCTAAAATTTCACTGTGGTATTGCGAGACCTGTGGATCTTTGGACAGTCGGAAAGAAACAGCTATGGAATGTACACTAAGATCCCTTTACTTACTGCTAAATGACTTTCAAGAAACAGTTTCCATCACTATAAAAGAGCCAAATGGAAATGACCCTCAAGACATTTATATCAAATCAGTAAAAATTAAGTGTTTTTGCCTGCAGGTCAGAGTTTTAATGTACATATGCCTGTGTCTGCCTTAAAAACTGGGAAAAGTATTATTAAGCAAAAAACTTAGTTCACTATCACAAAGTTCCCAAGAAAATTGAAACTAAGAAGAAAACAAAGGGCAACTGATTGGTGAAAACCCTCGGCAGAGTGGAAAACCCTGGAATCAGAGTTTAAAGACATGGTTTGTTCAAATCTCACCCCTGCCTCTTCTGTGTGTGTAGCTTTGCAGGTATTTCTCTGAGCCTCATCTGTGAGACTAGAATAAAAGCTTACCTTCTATGGAGTTGACAGGACTCAGTAAGAAATTTTATAGTAAAGCACCCTATAAGCAACATGACATAGTTAAAATAATAACAATAGTGATAGCAAGGTAGGAAAAGCCTGAGATGTGGAGCCAGATACAGCAAGTACAAATTTGCAGTTACTCATCCCTGGCTGATGCTGGACAAATGATGTAATCTCAATGTGTCTCCATTCCCTCAGCTGTAAAACAGGTTATTTTGAGGACTAAATGAAATTGCATATATATGTATATATGGCCTGACACATATTAGAAGTTCAATAAACATTTATTTTGTAATTTGGAAGCCTGTAAGTGTTCTACAAATGAAAATGTTATTATGTTCACTGCTCTAGTCTAACGCATGATGATGCTTTATTTCTGTGACATACACACAGAAACATAAGCCTCATTTCAAATCATGTCAGACACATGATAAATGTTAAGGACAAGAAAGAGTTAAAAGCATTATAAAAATGTAAAGCATATTATTCATATATTTTATATATTTATATAATATATAGATATATAAGTATGCATAATAGTATGTAATATATTATTACATACTATATATTATAATTATATAATTTATAAAATGTAATATATAATATAATTTGGCTCTGTGTCCTCACTCAAATCTCATCTCAAATTGTAATCCCCACATGTTGAGGGAGTGACCTGGTGGGAGGTGATTGGATCAAGGGGACAGTTTCTCCTGTGCTGTTTTTGTGATAGTGAGTGAATTCTCATGAGAGCTAATGGTTTGTTTTTGAGACGAAATCTCGCTCTTGTCTCCCAGGCTGGAGTGTGACAGCGCGATCTCAGCTTACTGCAACCTCCGCCTCCTGGGTTCAAGCAATTCTCCTGCCTCAGCCTCCCGAGTAACTGAGATTACAGGCGCCTGCCACCACGCGCAGCTAATTTTTGTATTTTTAGTAGAGACAGGGTTTCACCATGTTGGCCAGGCTGGTCTTGAATCCTGACCTCAGGTAATTCACCCGCCTCGGCCTCCCAAAGTGCTGGGATTACAGGCGTGAGCCACCATGCCCAGCCAGCTAATGGT